GCGAGTCCATTACTGGCCCGATTTCTGGCTGAACAAGCCACAACTTCAACCTGCCAGGAGCACGGCGATCGCTGCCAGCATCCCCATCCAACACCAGAACCTATACACCCTTCTGTCACGACAGGCTCACGATAGCTAAACAGAAGGGCATACTGATGAAAATGCATCAGGACCCCTGGGCAAGCAGCTCCCCCCAACTCTTCCTAACGGAGCTTGTGCTAATTGATTTTTCTCTGCGCTCGCTTGCGGTTGCGTTTTGTCCCTCTTGCACTATTCAGCTAAATAAACCACTCTGCCCGGGTCAGGCCCCTTCCCCTCACATGCCCCCAGAGAAGGACGTGGGAAACGTTAATTTAAACGCCACAGACATTATGTGCTTTGGGCTCTCGCTTCTGCTGAGAAGATGTCTTTCCAGGCTAAGCGATTTTTTTCCATTCCCTCTTAACAGCCCTTTGATTTCCCTTTTATTTGCCTGCACTCCATCCCCACCGCTACGAGCCCGACCTCTGCAAAAGTCTCCTGCTTGGATTAACTGTTTTGCTCGTCCCCGCCGGGACGATTCACCCTGTGTGGGGGGGGCCAGCCAGAGCCGAGCCTCCCAACAGAGTCATCGACAAAACGCTGGATTAGACCCAGAGCTGCGGCAAAAGGGAAGACACGCTCGGATACAGCACACATCCAAACCTCACCGGCCCCTTTGCCGCCCCACCCGATGAGCAGCTTCAATGCCGAGAGGGGGAAAATGTGCACAAAGGAGTCTCCTCTACCCGCATCTTTGCTACTCTGGCTGGAGATCTCAGCCACCGCCCAGTAATATCTGCGCACTTGTTCCAAAAATGCCAAGAGATGAAGTCAGGTTGGTACGAAGCACCTGGGCTGAGCCCTCAGCCTTTTGAGACCTCGGTGCGAGGATCTGCCTTCCACCCGGGACAACCTCTCATTGCTGCTGGCAGGATGGAGGGCAGCCAACCCCCGGGCAACCATACCCTGATGAGTGGCACGTACAGGACGGGCAGGGGAAGAGCACTTTTTTTTCGGATACCAGGTGGGTGACAAAGATGTGCCACGAGCCCCAAGAATCACCTTCTCCGTTCCTGCAAGCCCTCAAGCCCAGATGTATGTAAAATCTCGCCAGCCCAGCATGCTAAGTGAAGCAACGGGAACCTCTGCAAACATTTTGTATCAGACATTTTGCATTGCACCATCATCTCTTTTCCTTGCTATCTTGGTTTTTAGGTAGACAAAAAGAACCCCTAAAACCATCCGGTAAGGGGTAAGTATCCCAAGTGCAGATGAAGCTCCCGAGAGGGGCACAGAGCCTGCTCTGGAGGTTGCAGCCTGCCAGGCGTTACTTGCTCTTGCCCTTTCCCTTCTCCACATTGTTCTGCACGCCTCTCACTCTCCAGCACCTAAATACTAAGCAGTTAATATATGAACACTTCCTACATTTAGAGCCTGTTATCGGGTCTTTTCCAGGAGAACCAAAGAAGTCTGATCCTCTCCCCTTGCCTCCTCACACACCGTAGAGCCTCCCCGTAAGGGTTTAATAAGTATCACAGGCTCAGCTCCTGCCTGGATATCAAAGGTAGGGTGATAAAAGCAAGCTTAACTGCAGCCGTCGTGAAATGTGAGGTGCAGAGGGGAAACCAGAGCACAGTCTACATCAGGGAAAAAGTCCTGAATGGGGCTGGCGCGGCGCAGAGAGGGGTTGCCCTTTCAGAGACTCAAGAAGCCAGCTGTTATCAGGAAGAAGAAAAAAATAAAGACGCAATTTTCTTTTGAGACTCTTACTGGAGAGCGACGCCTGCATCCGTGCTGCTTTGAGAGGCAGCGGATGCGACAAGAGACACGGGTCCAGCGCTGGGAGAGCATCCTTAGGTGCCTCTGGAAAACTGACTGCATGACTGCAAGCAAAGGCCACGGTCCTTCCGAAACCCATCCTGGCTCCCAGGGCGAGGAAAGCAGCGAATGCCGAGATGGGAAAATGGATCACACTGACCAGAAAATAGCAGCTGGGAGAGGTTTTAAAGAAAAAACTCTGGTAAGTAAGATTGAGGCAGTGCAGAGGAGGATTCTCTAAATGACTCAGAAACACAGGATGTCTGAGGAATACCAAAGAGCACTGTAAGGGAGCGATGGCCAGTATTGATGCTCACTGCTGAGATCTCTGCCGGACAGAGATCTGCACATACGTCCTCCTCTCTACAGCCACTGCTACGGGGAGGATGCTGGGCTTGCTCCTTCCCAGGACACTGACTGCAAAACCCACAGCCTCGACCAAAACATTGACCCTGAGCTCTGCTTTTCAGACTGTCCCAAAACGGCCCCTGCTGAAGAGGCACGGCTGGGTCCTGCCTACGGTCTACCACACTCCTTGCACTGAAACCATTTCGCAACACGATGCGGTAAGGTCATCATGGGGGGTCATACCTGGAGGCGGGAGGGCTCACCTGAGGTCCAGCTCCATGGCATCCTCTGCTCGAGCTGTTTACGACAAGAGGAGGATGAGGTGACTCATCACCTACTGATATGAGGTTAAACACCAGTTGCCTCTGCATTCCTTACTCACCCCAAAACACACCGGTGTGCCGCAAGCACTGCGCATGTCCCTGAAAGCGTCCATCCCATCATCACAAGGTAGCCCCCGAAAAAAAAGAAAAGAGGAAAAGGGAGACAAAAAACCCCTCTGGCTTCCTGCCATCTACGCTCTTATCAACCCTTGTTAACTGCTGTTGCCATGAACCAATCCAAGAGACATATCAATAACGACATAAGAGACACATTTACTGTTGACTGTGACTCCCTGGCAGATTTATCGCTGGGTTGCTAGGAGGGAAGGCCGGGCCCCGCAGCAGCACAATTAAAACCCGATTGAATACAGGGACAAAGAATCAATACTCTATCCGGCCACTTTTAGTTTTGCAAAATACAAATATAAATTAATTGACCTGAACGTGGTTGCTAACTGGTCATTACTGCCTGCTCGCTGGCCAGGACACCACTGGGTTGTCCCCCGCGGTCCTCTCTGCCACTTCAACAAAAAAGGGCCTCAAACCTCACTTTTTAGGCTATATTTAGTGCCAGGGGCACTACAGCCAAAACAGGGCTTTGCTCCCATCCCTGTAAAGCCTGTGCTCTGCTTGCATGCACAGCCAGGACCGAATGTGTCTTTGGAAAACCGCTCCCTTCCTCCCAGCGCAAAGGGCTACACTCGCTCTCGTAGAAAGCTGGCTCTTCCCAGCATGTGAGCGTGGAGAGCACCAGCCCTCGGCTGCACTGACGGTGCTGATGGGTGACACCGCTTGGTCTGAGCCATCAGAAAGCACATTTTAGCCACCAAGGAGCTGCGTTGGAGCTGAACTGGGGACAGAGCAGGGAAGGATTTTCTTCTCTGGCCGTCACCATCAACAGGGCAGCGAGGCAGCACCTACAGATGGATTTTCTGACTCAGACTTGAGCTTAACACATGGAAAGAGAAATACAGAAACTTCTCAGCATGGTCCACTTGACCAGTGCCCACACATCACTCTCAGACTTCCCTTCAGCTGCGGAGAAGCAGCGTTGATGAGAGTCGCAGTCATCGCTGTGGCAGGCACAATTCAACGGGACTTGCTCACACCAAGGGAAAACTTTTCCCAGCACAGTTAGGAAGGCCTCACCACCAGACAGTCGCTCTGGATGCAAAATATCTCACCTTCAGGCGCCCGGGTTGCAGGCTCTGCTCTGAAGAAGGGGCGAGGGGAGAGGGCGCCGAGCGCTGCTGCCAGTTCGCCCAATTTCATGAGGTGCAAAGCACTCGGGTGCTTCACTGGTGTTGACTGGATGGATTAGCACGATTAGAGAGCAGACAGGATAAACAGATTAAATTTCACAGACGGACGGCTCGCACGTAACTCCAAAAGAGGGAAAGGGAGAAGCTCAATGATGTGGCTGGCAGATCTGTGCTCCCCCTCTTCCCGAGGTGAGCTCTCCCCCCAACGCGCTCCTGCCGAGACCGGGCAGGAAAAGTGCTCGGATGGGTGGCTGCAATCAAACCCTGCCTCCTCCAAATGAGAAGGATACATAAACACACATATCTGCGCTGGGGGCTTCGCGGAAACATGCCGAGGCCAAAAAATTTTTCAGATGTGCTCATTGCAAAATCAATATCCATCAGCTGTTTGAAATTAAAGGAAAGATTAGGTCCTGGTTTTATACACGCTTTATTGTATTCCGAGAGCTTTCTACTCAGCCAGATAAATCTTCTTTAAGAGGATTAGGAAACTTTCATTATCTTTATCTAACCTGAACTAACACTAACTCTAAAAAATTAATCTAGAGACCAGACAAAAGCCGGTAGCTGGTGCAAAGCCGCAAGGATCCGGAGGCGGCATCCACCGGGGTGCTACAGGCACCTCCGATCTGCTGGCACCCAATTTTAGGAACACTGCTTTGCAACCCAACAGCGTCTCATCTATGAAGCCCAGTGCCAAAAGCCCTTCACAGCCCCGCAGTGATTTTGACGCTCTCGCCCCATCTGCCCCCTGTCCCCAAACCGAGGAGCCTCGCGCCGTTGGAGTCTGTGCCCGGCAGCGCTTCGCTTTCGGCTCTCCCGAAGCACCTTTGGACACGTGGCCCAGGGCCTTAGTGACAGCTCCCCAAGGCAGCCAGCTGAGCAATGTAGTCCCGAGCAGCAGAGGCGGGTCAAATTCACAGCAGGGCCGGGCAAAGCGGGGAGAAGGAAGAACACGCCAGCCCCAATTTCACTTCTCAGGTGTCCTCTGCCCCGTGAGATGACCATACAACTGAGGTTGAGGTGACACAAGTCCATCTCCTCCCTGGCATGCTGGGCGCTTGTCCACAGCCCAGTTCCCATGCTGCTCAATCCCCAAAGCAACGGATGATGGTCTGATCCCTCCATCCCCATCACCAAGAAGGCCTCCAAATCCTTCGCGAGTCCAGACAGCCTCTAATATCAAACATTCAGTTCAGGAATAGCACGAGGCACGTTCAAGACCTACCTTGCACAATGAGATGGACGCGCGAAGTCTTGGGGTGATTGTCTGTCTGCACGGAGCAGGTGTAGGGGCCTTCATCGTAGACATCCACGTTGTGTATCTTGATGCTGTACTGGGTCTTGGTGTTGGAGAGGATGACCACGCGGTTGTCTATAGACCACTTGTCATTGCCGGCGTACAGGATGGTGCTGCGGTTCAACCACGCTACCCGCGTGACCCGGTCATCCACGGTACACCTGTGAAGGAAGAGGCAGAGGGTCACAAACCTGGGACAGAACGCACGGCGAGCGTCCTGCCTCCCGAAAGGACTGCCAGCATGGAGGTGGCACAGGCCACGGCCACGCCACCCTGCCACCGCATCCTCCCCATCGCCTGAGATTTCATAGAAATGGCGGGTTCACCCAAAAATTAAAAAAAAAAAAAAAAAAAAAAAAAAGGCAAAACAAAAAACCCCAACAAACTGCCTTTTTCTTTTTCCATACAGAGATGGGGAATCCATTATGTTTGACCTCTGCACCCCTCCTCTTGCCCACCCCCCGCCACCCCTGTCTCGCCCTCGCTGCGCACTGAGAATTTCAGATGAAGCTGTAAAATTTGCTGACAGTTCGGCTTGTCGGCACGGCCCTCGAGCCATCCCCGGGGTGATATACACATCTGCTGCCAGGGGAGAGGGGCCGCGGCACAGGCACGGGGAGAGGGGAAGAAGAGAAACAGCCGGAGACGGCGAAGCCAGCATGCAGGGAAGAGAAGGGAACATTTGGATAAGGAGCTGTAAATCCTACAAGTGCCTTGAAAACACAACGCGGTCGTTTCCATTATTTATTTCCTGCCTGGCTCCCACCCTCCCCGCTCCGAGACGCGCAGGGGCTCAGCAGCTCCGGTCCGCAGCGCTGACTGACGCTTGGCAAAGAACAGGGAGAGGGGGGTGGAAAAAACGGAATTAAAATGTTCCCAGAGAACACGGCTTTTTCATTCCCTTTGGTAGATTTTTCTCGATCCATTTACTCGCAGCCCTCTCTGCCGCCGCCATGGCACCCGCAGGAAAACCACCAAGCATTTGGTTAAATGAGGAGCTTGGTGTTTCTCAGGAGCTTCGCCTTTCCCACCTGAGGACCACGGCAGGGCAGCTTTCTCCCAGCATGAAAGCAAACGAGGAAAACCATGCGAGGTGCGAGCTTGTGTCGGCAACAGCAGCAGTGCCGCTGCAGCTTGGTGCTGCTGAGATCTTAGGAAAAGGCACCTACAGTCAATCAAGAAACTCGTGCAAGTCCCTCTCCACATGCCTGTAAATTCAGAGACAGGCTGGCGGGCTGTCCCTGTCCTCGTCCCCACCGTGGCTCCTCTCCTGCAGAGGCTTTGGGGGTGTTATATGCCTCCCTTGCTGGGACTGCAGAGCGTCACCTCGATCGAGATTATTAATCGGGAAGGGGCGATACTTGGCATGTTTGAGGGTCCCCCCGGGCGCTCGGTTCAGAGGAACGAGTCATATATCCTCCCACAAACAAGTAATTTTCCCCTTGCAGGAGCCGTACGTCTCTGCCAGCCACATCGTGTACGGATGCTGGGAAAGACGGATGGCCCACCATGCCTGCCGCGGCACGGCCGGCGTGCCAGGGCGTGGCTGGGCACCGGACCGGCCCCGCTGCCGGCTCCGCTCCGCCGGATGGCATCGTCCTTGTCGGGAAGCCAAGCCCTCCCTTCGTTGAAATTAACCGGGGGAGAGCTAAGCGCAACCGAGTTAACTTCGGCCCTGGGGGATTCCAGTCTAGTGGACTATTACCGCTGTCTCACTTCATTATAATGAATAATAAAGAGATACTTACACACGGCTTCTGTAAATTATTCATTGCATGCACTGAAAAATCAGGGCAGCAATATGTAAAACAGACAACTTGCATGTCTGCGCTCATATAAATATCGAGACTACAGCCCTGCGAGGTACTCTGGGGTCCCCTCATTAGGGGTGAAGCACAAGGACTCGGATTTGAAGTGCCAGGGATGAGGAGCTCGTGCCATCACTGGGCGCGTTGGACCACGGCTGGCACATATCTGGTGTGCTTCCTGGGGAGGTTTGGGGCTGGTTCGGGACCACTGAGAACTGGGGTCGCTTATTCTGTGTTTATAATTTGCATTTACGGCTCCGAGTCACACTTGCATGAGCGCAGAGGGATGCCCATAGGATGAGCAGATGTGCTCCGGCGAGGACAGCATCGCCCTCCCTTGCCCGTAGTGCCTGGTGACAGGTACCACCCGCAGAGCAAACCTGGAGACTCCAAACAAATTTAGGCCAAGACCAAGGAGACAAAGGCTTCTTCTCCCCATCCCTGAAGCTCACTCTTCAGTCGCTGCCACTCAATAGTTGATTTGGGACCTTTCGGCTCTGCATGCTTTGCACCAGGCTCCTCTCCACCAGAGCCCGGGCTGTCCCCTGCAGCCACAGGCAAAGAGGGACCAGAGAAAATCTCCCTCCTTCAAAAAACAAGCCCTCCTGCACCTCCTAAAAATGCATCAGAGCAACCACCAGCAGAAAAGCCACCCTCCATCAGCTGGCGAGGAGAGCGCAGCGTTTACGGAAGCACCTTCTCGCCCAACCTCGCCTTCCCTGGGAATTGGCGCTTCAAAGGCAAATATCCACCGGCACCCCGAGGAGAGGAGCACCCCGAGGAGAGGAGCACCCCGCCAGCTTCTTTACCTGGCTCCGAAAGCGATCCCCGCTAGCTGCTAAGCTGCCAGCGCTGCCGAGCTGTCTTTGCTACCTATTTCCAATTGACCAGGATTATGATAATGTCTCCAGTAAGCAAACAGGTAAAGAGACTTCTGCAAAGTGTTTAGATAAAGCAGACAAGCTCTGACAAAGCTGGATAATAAAGCGGGCCAGAAGGTTTTCCCTTGAAGGGATCTAATTAAGAACAAAGACAAACCCCCATTAACAGCCTCCTGAAGGCACCGTATCCATCTCCAGAAAAAACCCTGCCTTACGAGTCCGGAAGGGACAAAAGACAATAAAGCGCCTGTCAAACGGGAGGGAAATAAACTCGTCCTGGCTCTGCTGTTCACCTGAGAAAACCCATCAGCGAGACAGAGGGAATATCTGGGGACTGATACTGACAGCCCAAACCTGAGCCCCCAGTGCTCGCGTCGTCCCGGTTCCCCCACGCAGCCCTTCTTCGCGTATCGTGGCCCTTCCCATCTGCTCCTCCATCTCCGCATCCCACTTAGACCCTCGCTGCCTTCGAGCAGAGACTTTTCACCATCTGCAGCCCTTCGGCTGCCTCCCGCCGGGAAGCCTCGGATGCCGGGCTTCGCCCCAGCTCCGGCCCCCCCCCCCCCCCCAGCCCTCCCACTGCTCCACGTGGCCTCCCGGGCGATGAACCCGAATGCGGCAGCGCGAGAAGATGCATGAGGGAGGGAGCTGGGGGCAGCGGCGCTGCGCCGCTTCCCCTCTAATTGCCCCTATTTCTCATCCTTAAATGCTAATTTCGAAGCTTGCCGAGGAATTATTTCACTTAGTGTCAACAATACAGATAACTCCGCCAACGCGCTCTTTGTGTTCGGTGCCACGAAGTGACCGTCTCCCTCCTCCCGGACCTATTAGGAGAGACCCCTGTGTCGCTCCCGCGCCAGGCTCCTGCCCGGCCCCATCAATGACGCTGACAGCGCTTCTCCTACGCGTGGGATGTGACATAACACCCGCTGCCTTCATCCCCCACCTTTCCTGGTCCACATCACGGACTGCTGTGAGGACCAAGCCTGGGGCAGCCCTCGACGCCTGCCCCGTGCTGAGGGAAATACCGGGGTTGGCGCAAGTCTTCCAGCGCTAGTTTGGAGGGATAAACGGCGCGTGAAGACTTGGAGGGGTAAAGGAAGCCTTGCAAACAAATCCCTCTCCGTGGGTGCAAAGTATGCTGAGGGATGGGATGCTTGGGACCCCAAAATGTCGAGGAGCATCCCGGGAGACCGGTTCGCACCCGCAGAGTCGAGGCTGACGGACTCCAGCCAAGCTGAGAGGCTCGAGGTTGATGCTCGTCTTTGGATCAACCCAAAACCCTCCCGCTTCCTTATGCAAGCCAACAACGCTCTACTTTTAAATACTTCCACGGCCCTTCAACCCCGACCCGCTTTTCTCCCCTGTAGGCAACCCGTCTCGTCAAAATGACAAATGGAGATGCCGAAACCAGTCGCGAACTGGCTGGCTGACCCAGTTTTCAGAGCCTAAAATAGCTCACCCGGATCGGGAGCGAAGCCCCTCGACAGCGACAGCGCAGTGCTTCACCCTGGGAAGTTTCCAACCAAAAGGGCCTGTCACAGGGGCAGAGAAAACACCCCAGCACCCTTGTCTTTGAAAATAAATTGATAATTATGTTTGCCGGGGACTCCTAATGGGATTTCTCCTTTGCTTCTGGTCCTCGCCCCGGCTACAGAGTTAACGGGCTCCGAGCGCCTTTATTCTGGGCGGCTGGAGCAAAGGCAGAAGAGATTTATTTGTAATCATCGGAAATAAACACACTTCCTCAGAAGTAAACACAAAAGAACAGAACCTGGCGGGGCTCCCGCTTCGTTAAAGATGCAAATTAGAAGCAGGCCATCAAAACGCGGCGGCTCCTCTAATCCTCTCTCAACAATGTAAACCGTCACATTAGCCGCGGGTACAATGGCATCTGCGGCGTGCGACAGCGGGGCTCGCACAATAGCTCCCCGAGGGCAGGACTGCGCCGTCTGGGTTTCCGTCACTGTCATCCCTGATATTTATTCTCCGGGCGGAGGGCGGAAGGCACTTTGTCTTCATTCCCCATCCCTTTTCACTGGCACCTTCTCTCCTCTGTGAGGTGAGAGCATCCCCTCAGCCCCACACCGTCCCAGCGCCTCGAGGACAGAGGGGACCTGGGACGCTCTGTTTGGCATCACCCAGCCCTCGCCAAGCCCAGACCCATCGCCGCACCCGTCTCCCACAGGAAAACAAAGAGCGTGGGACGCACAGGGAGCTAGGCCAGCCTAAACTCTTCTCCTTTCCCCCATAACGTCCCTCCTTCTGCGTTGGACCCCAAATTCCCCTCGCAAAGCCACCGGCTCTCGCTCTCTGCAAGCTTAATTAATTGCCTGGCCCCAGCGCTTCCGCACTGCTCCGATTCCCCGAGTACTCCCCAGCGCTGTTCAAACAAGATCCGGATCACTGGCAAACCCCTCCCCAGAGCCCTCCGAGGGCTACAGGACCCTCCTGCCCTCCTCAGGGGCTCGG